CGACATATGCGCAATGAGGCAGGGAAAATAGAGGTCCATATGCCCAAATCTTTAAAAGTTATAAAATAAGTTCGAGTGTATTTTGTCCTCACCCTAACCATTATACTTCCATACCTAGGAAACAGAAAAGTCAGTGTGAGGCTGTGTGTTTTTATATAACCAAATATCAGCAAAATGTCAAAGGTGGCCGGTTTTAATCATCATTGCATAGATCTCGCCGTTATGATGGACTGGCGATGTCTAGATGTATAATGTTATAGAGACATTCATAAGTCATTTTTATATTTACTTACACATTCATTTCTCTCTCCTTTTAGCACCATCTCTAAATTTTATAATCATTGTGTTCTTGATGTCCAATTAGACCACCTTTCTTGAGTTGTTTTAGTGTTTAGAGTACAGCTTATTCATTTCAGTTTGGAGCAACTTTGCTGAAGCAAATACCATAAAATTGTTTTTAAAAATTGATCAGATTTAGAAATACCAAGAATTTTTTTTAACTATCATGTCCTGCATTGCAATGGGACCAATATGATAAATTATCACAGGGGAAAATTGCAAAATCATTTAATTTTGTCAGATAAGTTACTTTTGCTTATTTTGTAGTGTGTGCCTTCCCTTTTAAGAATATCTAAATCTGGGAGCAGCAGATAGTGTAATGATTACATCGCTGGACTCCCATGTAGTCAACCATGGTTCCAGGCCCGGCCCCATGGCTTAAACTCATGCAGGACGCCTGTGCATGTGTACCCAAGATCCCTCGAGAAGAATGGAAGAGAAGGGATTGTGGCATGGTCGGTCATCTCCCCTCTGTGGGGTGATGTCTCGTTTTCTATCTTTCTGTCTCTCTCTGTCTTTCCAGCAAGTGCACATGCCCTATAGCAAAAACCTCTTTAAAAAGATAATATCTAAATCTATAGACTATTTTCAATGTTAATATGTTGGAATTTAAGAGTAGTATGTATTGCTGCTATTCCTTAGCTGACATTAAGGGTTGCAAAATCATATGAATTCTTGAGTACACCCAAGTTGGAACACTGAAACAAGCAAGAAAAATGGATGATTCTCACCTTCTGGAAACAATACTTTGTAATGCAGGAATCATTGCATGCATGTGGTCTGAGATGAAGGATTTGACAAGGTGACAATTTTATTTAAGCATTCTTGGATATATGCTAGTCCCAAACAACAGAAGCGCCACAGTCCTTCCTGGCATTCAGAGGTTGTAATCTTTTGTTTTTAGGATGTTGAACTAGAAATGAGGAGAGACCTCCCCTGGGACTTGGATGAAATTAATCAGGAGAGTGGATGTTAAGGCTTATGTGTCTTGCTGAGTCCTCCTTGAGTCCCTGATCCTGAGCGACAGAGGCACCCATGTGTTCTTTAATAAATTTGTGTGTGTGTGTGTGTGTGTGTGTGTGTGTGAGAGAGAGAGAGAGACAAAGAGAGAGAGTGAGAGTGTGCGTGTGTGTGTTTTGATGGTCAGGGACATATAAAGCAGGTCTTCGGGACTGTTTGCCCATAAAGACCCACACGAGGTCATTGCCAAGGAGGTGGCCACACATTGCCAGTGGTAATGGGTGCTACCACTCTGTCAACTGCTTCTAACATAGGCTGCCTACCGAGCCATTCACCCCAATCCCTGAAACAATCTAATCACCAAGGGAAGCCAAGAGCACAACACTAAACTTAGGAGATAGTCTACACTCCTCCAGCAGGGAAAGACAGCTGAACATAGTCCTTTATGCACCTATTATTGGAGGGGGGATCAAAATGTCAAGGAATTGATTGTTAAGTTGTAATTGGTGCCCTGCAGCTGAAGGAGGGGGAGGGGTGAGCCATGTCAAAGCAATCTTTGTGAGGCTAGTTCTGTCTCAAGAACCTAGCACAGTGGGTTTTGCAGACTTAGGGAAATTTAACTGTCAAACAATTGGGCAAGGTCCAGGCCAACTGCCCAGTATAAATAGAGAATAACTCTACCATGAAATATACCCTAGATATGTACAAAATCGGAATTAATCAGATACCAAAATAACTAGGTTAACATTATCATCATGAATGGACATTTTAAAATATTTATCTCTGGTAAGGGATACAAAGAGGACTCAAATGGACCCCCA